AAAAAAAAGAAAAAAAAGAAAACCGACCTGGCAGTTCCAAGAGAGGTGCAAATTGGAAGAGGAGGGCAGAAAGTTTCACCACAAGTCCCCCTCCTGCTCCAGCTTCTAGGCTTTTCTATGGTTCCTTTATGGCAGAAAGCAACCCCATGAGAGTTTGCGTGGACTCTATCATAGGGACCCTCCATGCGGAAGCAGGTGACCACGGTGGGAAATGGGCGGGCAGAGGAGCAGCTGCAGTTTCTGGAAGCGAGTTCAGACCTGGCTGAAAGAGCTCAGGTTGCTCTTACCTGTTGAGGGCATGGTGACAGTTTGACTGTAGGCTGCATAGTCAGGCAATCTGTTTTTAGCTTCACACCTATACTCTTCCTCTTCTCCAGGATTCTTCCTGGTTAACTTAAATTCAGCAGACTCCCTGTCGTACTTGGAAATAGCTGGTGATATGGCAATATGCTTTTCAAAGAAAGTGTAATTGATGGGCAGCGAGCCATTGACTGAGAGGCAATGTAATGTTATATGTCGGTGTGTTTCTGTTTGAATGACCATAATGTTCAGCACTGGGGCAGTCACCGGGTCTGGAAGAATGAAAGTGAACATGAAAAGGATAAACAGACTGGGCACGCTCACTCAGACCACAAATACGGGTGGAACCCTTACTCCATTCCAGGCTGTGGAACCAAGATGAATGATCCCCTTCCTGAGAAGTCAAGAAGGTCACGGCCCACTGGGAAAGGCCAATGGGCATATGGCCAACCCTGTGCAGTGTGGGGTTAGCCGAGGTTCTCAGCCCAGTGCTGAGAAAGCCAGAGAGTGGAGGGTATCTCTCTGCTTTGAGGAACTGGGGTACAAGGTTGCCCTTCCTAGAATTCACAATCTATTTATTGTTAATAATGAATATAATTTTGTCAATGATCCAGTTCTAAGTATGAAGTTGAGAAGTGGTTTTTTATGTTTATTTTTTATAGACATAGGGTCTTACCATGTTGGCCAGGTCGGTCTTGAACTCCTGGCCTCAAGTGATCCTCCCACCTTGAATTCCCAAAGTGCTGGGGTTATAGGCAGAAGCCACCACACTCGGCCCAAGATGTGCTTTTATTCTCATTCCTTGTAAATTTACAGCGGGATTTTTTAATCCAAAAATATAATTTTCTTTTCAATGTATTTATTTATTCGGAGACAGGGTCTTGCTCTGTCAACCATGCTGGAGTGAAGTGGCACAATTATAGCTCACTGTAACCTCAAACTCCCGGGCTCAAGTGATCCTCCTGCCTCAGCCTCCCCTGGAGCTGGGACTACAGGTGCACGCTGCTGGCTAATTTTTAAATGTTTTGTGGAGACAGGGTCTCGCTATGTTGCCCGGGCTGGTCCCAAACTCTTGGCTTCAAGTGATTTTCCCACCTCAGCCTCCCAAAGTGCTGGGATTTCAGGTGTGAGCCACCACGCCCAGCCCCAAAAATATCGTTTTCTCTAACAGTACTTTTATTTATAGAACTCAGCTGCACAATTATCTTTCACTTCCTCCGAAGAGCAGGAGTAACCCTGCTAGCTAGATTCAAGAGAAACTTTCAACAGGAAGTGGGTCTACTACACTCTGTTAGATCATAGCCTATTCTATAACCTAACAGAAAAACCCAGCTATACATTTTATTATATATGTATTAATAAGACAGTATTATAGGAAAGGAAGAAAAGTTGTTAAGTATCTATCATGTGCCAGCATGCCATTCACATGATCTCATTTGACCTTCACGACAGTCCTGCAGTGTGGATAGTATCATACCCATTCCACAGATGAACCAACTGTGCTTCAGAGAGATTGAGAAATTTGCCCAACGTCACACAGCTAGTAAATGGCTCAGTCAGCACTGACTTCAAGAGTCCATACTTAAAAACAATTTTTTAAAAAAAATGTACTTTCTTTTTTGAGACGCAGTCTCACTCTGTTGTCCAGGCTGGAGTGCAGTGGCACGATCTTGGCTCATTGCAACCTCTACCTCCCAGGTTCAAGCAACTCTCCTGCCTCAGCCTCCCAAGTAGCTGGGGATTACAGGTGCCCACCACCATGCCTGGCTAATTTTTGTATTTTTAGTACAGACAGGGTTTCACCATGTTGGCCAGACTGGTCTTGAACTACTGACCTCAAGTGATCTGCCCCCACTCAACCTCCCAAAGTGCTGGGATTACAGGCGTGAGCCACCGCAGCCGGCCCTGTGTTCTCTTTAAACATTTGATGAGTGAGCACTTTGGGAGGCCGAGGCGGGCGGTTCACGAGGTCAGGAGATTGAGACCATCCTGGCTAACATGGTGAAACCCCGTCTCCAGTAAAAATACAAAAAAAAAAAAAAATTAGCCGGGCGTGGTAGCGGGTGCCTATAGTCCCAGCTACTAGGGAGGCTGAGGCAGGAGAATGGCGTGAACTCGGGAGGCAGAGCTTGCAGTGAGCTGAGATGGCGCCACTGCACTCCAGCCTGGGCGACAGAGCAAGACTCTGTCTCAAAAAAAAAATAAAAATAAAAAATTGATGAGTGAATCAGTGGTTAATGAATTTGTGTTTACGGCTCATAGTTTCAACCTTGACTGGGTTGGGGACAACACTGTGTTTTAGGCCTCATTAAAAACCCAGTAGCACATTTGCTTGCACAGAGTAGGTACTCAGTAGTGCCTGTTGATCTGCCCTAACTGAAGATAATACAGTTTTATAATCTACCAAGATAGTTTTATTACCGGACTGTGTAATTACCCTAACAAATTGCAGGAAGGTCGTGCACAGAAAACATATGAACCGATGGACTTATCGCCCAGCGCAGCAGGAGTCTGACCACTAGAGAATACCATCAGCTATGTTCCTGCCCTCACAAATCCATCGTGTTCCACTACCATGTTTGCAGGGATTTTCCCCTCCTTCTTCCTTTTCCTTTCACAAGGAATATACTCAGTTTATGTCCAAAGATCATTGGGATTTTTTTTTTTTTTTTCTTGAGACAGGGTCTCTCTCTGTCACCCAGGCTGGTGTGCAGTGGTGCAATCACAGCTCACTGCAGCCTTCAACTCCTGAGCTGAGGCAATCCTCCCAACTCAGCCTCCTTAGTTGGCACTATAGGCATGCCACCATGCTCAGCTACATATATATATATTTTTTAACTTTTTGTAGACACATGGTCTCCATATAATGCTCAGGCTGGTCTCAAACTCCTGGGCTCAGGTGATCCTCCTGCCTCAGCGCTTCACACCTATACTCCTCCTCTTCTCCAGGATTCTTCCTGGTTAACTTAAATTCAGCAGACTCCCTGTCGTACTTGGAAATAGCTGGTGATAT